CAGAAGGCCTGGTTGCCTTGGTTCGATGGTCTCATCGAGGCCAGCGAAGAGTACTTTGAGAAGTACGGCGAGCCTCTCTTCTCCTCCCACATGCTTGACCTCTCCGAGGAGAGATTGAGTTACACAAATGACCCAATTCAGTCAGTCGAACGTCAAATCGCATCAGATTTCAAAACATTTCAAAACAAGACCACGAGGTCGAACTTCAAGCTATCAAATGTTACAATACTACTAGTTATACTATACTTCCTAACCAAATTCAACGCTTTAAAGGGCGTCAACATGTTTCTATCATTACAGTCGGTGCAGGGCATGCAGTGAAGTGAGTGCAGTCAGATCATTGCAGTGGAGTGCAGTCACTGCACTGTCACCACTGCACTGTCACAGCACTGCACTGTCACTGCATTGCACTGTCACTGCACTGTCCCTGCACTGCACTCAACATTTTTTCTATCATGCCTTTGCCGCAGAACCCTGAGGAGCCTTTGGAGGAGAACATTTCCATCTGCAAGAAGTACTTGGAGCGCATGGCCAAGATCAACCTGCTCTTGGAGATGGAGCTGGGTGTGACCGGTGGTGAGGAGGATGGCGTTGACAACACCGATGTTGACTCCTCCCGCCTCTACACTCAGCCTGAGGAGTTGCCTGGAAGAGTTTGCAGTTGTTGCAGCATCGTTACAACCCTTCGAACAACTGCAACAACTATTACGTCTATAGTACTGGAGTTAATTACTATTATTACAGTACTATTACTACTATCGTTATTTGATACGAGTTACGTCCATAGTTACTTAGGCTGCATGAGTTGTTTTCTACTAGTCCCACTAACCTCCAGGATTCATCCATCCAACTGCTCTTGTAGCAGGAGCTACTATACTTCTTGCATGAATTTGGTTGCAACATCCGCTCCAATCGCCACCATCCATCCATTTCATCCATTCCATCTATCCAACTGCTGTTCTCCAGGAGGTGTGGCAGGTCTATGAGGCCTTGGCCTCCATCCCCAACGGCAACTTCACCGTGGCCGCCGCCTTCGGCAACGTGCACGGCGTCTATGCGCCGGGCAACGTGAGCTTGAAGCCGGTGATCCTGCACAACACCCAGAAGTACATCAAGGATCTTCCTTCTTTTAGATCTATCAAGACCCTTTTGGACTGCATAGGGCTTGCACCTCAACTTCCTATTGAACATTAAGAAATGGTTCCAATACGATGGAAGATCTTGAATTGTTGATGCCCACTGTTCTTGGTTACATGCCTCATCAATCAAGACCTCTATAGACCTCCTGGTGAGGAGAAGTTGGGCTGCGACAGCGACAAGCCGGTGTCCTTCGTCTTCCACGGCGGCTCTGGCTCCTCCCTGGAGGACATCCGCTACGCCATCGAGGCAGGCGTGGTGAAGATGAACATCGACACCGACACCCAATGGGCGACCTGGAGCCATTCTAAGTTGGAGGTGGAGTGTAACCGGGGTCAGCTGTGTCTCCGAACTGGGCGGGCCTTCTCCGTTCGGAAGCTCCTTCATCCTTCGCCTTCATTGGTGGAAGGTCCGGTCGGACCAGGGCGACCTGGGCTGTGGTTGGTCTCGGTCTGACCGGTCCTTCATTTGGGCCCGCATGCTGGAATTTTTGGTTGGGGGTTGAAAGTGCAGAGATTTGTGGCTGGCAAGGCTGGGTATCTTGATAGATGAGACATGATGAGACAGGATGACAAAAGCAGACTTATATAAATGAAACTATAGGTTCCACATGTCACCCTTAGAGAAGATATATCGATGTGTTGCTTGCAATAAAGGGGAATGTCCAAAGAATACCAAGCACGTGGTGCGTGATCTCGTGTTGCAGACTACTCTGGGCGGCGACACCAGAGAAGCAACGAGCCACATCCCCATCCAATGCGGGGAGTCATTCTATGCCACGCCGTTCGACTGCCTAGGCCTTCTGGGACGGCATGAACGAGTACCAGAAGAAGAACAAGGCCCCCAACAGATTCGCCCAGAATGTCTTGGGGTACGCGAACGCGGATCGAATTAGAGGCACCCAGGCTGGAATCGCCTGGTACTCATGGATATCCTAATGAATGCCGCATGGGTACACTTGGACTAGCCACGGAGGCCTCTCCTAGGAGGAAGAAAGTTTGTATCACTGATGTTGGTCCAGGTCCAACAGATACACTGGACATGGGGAGGCAATGATAGGAAGGGCACCGAGACGTTGGATGGTAGGATCCAAAAAAGCCACTGTTTGGACATAGCCGAAAAAGTTGATTGGAGGGAATAGCAGAGGCAGATCAGAGGCAGTTGACCAAGAAGATAACATTTAAGGCCATTGCCAGTGGACTCCAACGTTCTTATTCCCCTGTGCTAACCATGTTTTGTTTTCATGTTCTTTTCCATATGTTTTCCCCATGGAAGGCAGGTGATTCCAATTCCAGTTGTACTGCTTTGGATGAAGCATCGAAGAGCACCGTGGTGCTCTTCGATGCCGCTTTCGGCGCCATTTGGGTGGCTGAAGCCGAGTTGGAAACCTCCACTGGGTCAGACCTGAAGCACAGTACTCTACAAACAGGTGGTGCCATCCACTTCCCATGATTGCTTTAGGGAGTGTTTTTTGTTTTTTTCCCGAATGCGTAGCGAAGGGTTCCCGTTTATAGTTGGGGGTCTGGGGGTTGGAGCTGTGTTCGCGTGGCTTGCGTCGTGTCGTCGTCTGTCGTCGTCTCTCGTCGTTTGTCGTCGTCGTCGCGTCTCAAATTTGCTGCCATTGGGGGAAGCTTTTGCAAGTGACTTTGCATGGATGTGTCACGTGTCAGTTTGCGCCGCTATTCCATTGTGATTTGCGTGACACGGACATGTCGCGCAAGAAACGTGATGCACTTCGCTGCACAGGCGCAGCGTTTTGTGAGATCCGCAGATTACGGCGCAGTTCCATTGGCATTAGCGTTTGGAGAGTTGTGTTTTTGGGGTGTTGGATGTGGCCGTGCCATTGGGATTTGCGTTTCAGGGTGTGGCATCGAAGCTCTGTTTTCGTGACAAGTCTCAGCTGAAGTTGCGATTTTGATGGATGGGAGTGTGCTCTGAACGGGTCGAAATCATTCCAAGCGTGTGGTGTGGTGCAAAGTTTGTTGAAGCTCACATGCGATGATATTGTCACTTTTCGTGGCAGGCGCAGGACTTCGTGCGGGCTTTGAAGCGTGGAAGTGCAATTCTCGTGGCAGGCGCAGGGAATCGTGAGGTTGCGAGGTGTGAGGGAGGTGACATTTCGTGGCGGGCGCAGTACTTTGTGCGCGTTAGACGGGTGGATGGGGAAAGATTCGTGGCAGGCGCAGGGAATCGTGAGGTTGTGAGTTGTGGTAGAGGTGAATGTCGCTGTCCCATTGGGATTGGCGTGTGAGCGGATGTTGTTTGGAGGGGCTGGAATCGCGAAACTGCTTGGCAGGGCTGCGTGATGTGTGTGCTCCGATGGGTGTTTCCGCTTGACTTTTGGAGGAAGTCTCGTACGAAACGCTTGTTTTGCAGACTTTGACGTGTGAGGTTTTGAGGAAGTCTCGTACGAAACGCTCGTTTTGGAGACTTGACGCGCAACCCTCTGCGGAGATCGTGCGTGTCGAGTGCACCAAATGCAGGCGAGAGTGCGATTTGTCCCATGCGCGCGCAACCCTCTGCGGAGATCGCGCGTGTCGAGTGCGCGAAATGCAGGCGAGAGTGCGATTTGTCCGGTGGAGCTGGGAGCTGAGAACTGGCGACCTTGTAGTACAACTGTAGTACGTGGAGTATCTGGGGAGCTGGAAGCTGAGAACTGGCGACCTTGTAGTACAACTTTAGTACGCGGAGTATCTGGGGAGCTGGAAGAGAGTCCCACAAGAGTGTCCCGCAACAGTGTCCCACTAGAGTGTCTCAAAAGAGTGTGCCTTAAGAGTGTCCTACAGGAGTATCCCACAAGAGTGTCCTACAAGAGTGTCCCACAAGAGTGTCCCACAAGAGTGTCCTACAAGACTGTCCCACAAGAGTATCCTACAAGAGTGTCCCACAAGGAGTTCCACAAGAGTGTCCCACAGAGTGTCCCACAAGACTGTCCCACAAGAGTGTCCTACAAGAGTGACCCACAAGAGTGTCCTACAAGAGTGTCCTATAAGAGTGTCCCACAAGAGTGTCCCACAAGAGTGTCCCACAAGAGTTTCCCACAAGAGTGTTCTACAAGAGTGTCTCACAAGAGTGTGCCACAAGAGTGTCCCACAAGAGTGTCCCGCAACAGTGTCGCTCAAGAGTGTCTCACAAGAGTGTCCCTCAAGAGTGTCCCTTCAGAGTGTCCGACAAGAGTATCCCGCAAGAGTGTCCTACAAGAGTGTCCCACAAGAGTGTCCCACAAGAGTGTCCTAGAAGAGTGTCCCACAACAGTGTCCTAAGAGTGTCCCACAAGAGTGTCCTGCAAGTGACCCACAAGAGTGTCCCACAAGAGTGTCTCACAAGAGTGTCCCACAAGAGTGTCCTACAAGAGTGTCCCACAAGAGTGTTCCACAAGAGTGTCCTATAAGAGTGTCCCACAAGAGTGTCCCACAAGAGTGTCCTACAAGAGTGTCCCACAGGAGTTTCCTACAAGAGTGACCCACAAGAGTTTCCTACAAGAGTGTCCTACAAGAGTGTCCCAGAAGAGTGTCCCACAAGAGTGTCCTACAAGAGTGCCCCACAAGAGTGACCCACAAGAGTGTCCTACAACAGTGTCCCACTAGAGCGTCTCACAAGAGTGTCCCTTAAGAGTGTTCTACACGAGTATCCCACAAGAGTGTCCTACAAGAGTGTCCCACAAGAGTGTCCCACAA